AGTTGTTTTCTTTCAACTTTCTGTATATGGTATGTCATCCCATTGTTTTCTTGCTCGCTTCATTTCTGCTGAAAAATCAGAACTTAATCTGATGTCTTTTCCTTTGTAGGTGAACTCTGTTTTTCTCATGCTGCTTTCAGTATTCCATCCTTATCTTTTATTTTTGAGAATTTGACTATGATATTTCTTGATGTTTTCCTTTTTGGATCTAGTCTATTTGGTGTTCACTGAGCTTACTGAATGTGGATTTTCTCTTTATTCATAATACCTGGGAAGTTTTCTTCAAATACCTCTTTCATCATTTTCTCAGTGATTTCTCTATCCCTCTCATATTCTAAAATTCCAGTCATATGTTTGTTATTCCTTTTGATGTCATCCCACATAATTCTAATATTTCCTTCCATTTTCTTTTTGTGTAATCCGTGATTTTTCTTCCAGTATGTTTTCATTGATGTTCTTGTCTTCCAGCTCAATCCATCTATTCTGTTCTACTTTTTTCCCTTCCAACATATTGGACACTTCTGCCATTTCAATCTTAATGTTCTTACCTTTCTGTTATTTCTTTCATACCTTTCTGTTATTTCTAGTACTGTTCTCTAGTAAGCTTCCTATCTTGTGATGACTTTTTAAGTTCTTGTATCTCTTCATCTATAGTTTCAATTCTTTCTCTTTTTTGGAATTTTCTTCCATATTTGTGCAAGTTCCTCCTAATCAATGTATTTCTTCTGACTCTGGTCTTTGGAGCATTTGTTTTCTTGTTGGTTTCCATTGCTTCTTCCATCATTTGTATCTTCTTCTGTAGCTGTTTAAATAATTTGTCATCAATATATTTTTTTCTGGTTCTCTACTTCTAAGTTATTTATTTGTGGCTTCCATTGTTTCTTCCATCATTTGTACTTTTATTCATAACTATTCAAATGTCTCCATATCAACATATATCCTCTGCCTTCCTGACTCAGGAGTATTCATGAAGTCTCTGATATCATCTGTGGCTTTTTTCTTTTTATGGTGGATTGGTTGTTTTTGTTTTTAAGAAGGCTCAATTCCCCTCCCCCCTTCCATGATGTTTGAAGCTACTTGTTGCTTTCTTGACATTATATGAAGTTTTTTTTGATAAGTGTTAGGTCATTTCTATTGTGTCCACAAAAGTTGTTGGTTCTTGCCTTTATAATGTTACTAGTTAGTTGCCAAGTTAAAATGTTGTGAGTTAAAATGTTAAAATACACTGTAAGCCCTTTTGTGGAAAATTTGCCTTTCTTAAAGTCTTTGAGGGTCTCTCTGTTCTGGTCTACAGCTCTGTAGGAATCTCACCTTGAACTAATACCCTGATATCTACTCTATAGACCTCCTTTACATATGAAGTGGCTGAGTGGTGTGAGACCAGGTGCTCTACTCAAGCAGTTTTACATACACCTTTTCTCCTGGAGCTTAATGTCTTCCTTTGTCTTGAGTGGCAGGAGATTAGAGATCAGGGCTGCTAGATCAAGCAGCTTGTATGAAGGGAATCTCAAGTCAGCTCTCCCTCTCTCTCCCAGAAAGCTACAAAAATTCCTTCCCTCCACCTAAAGTTCTGTGTACTAAAATCTCTTGTCCTCTTTGGCCCCTGGATGGCCCCACAGCCACGGAGGCAGGGACCCTTAGATGGAGGTATCTATAAAACACCAGGGACACTTCATTCCTGTCTCCCCACAGGCAAAGGGAAGTGCTCACTCTCAGCACAGAGCCCCCAAATTTTCTTACCTTTTCTCCTGTGGCTTAATGTGCTCCTTTATCTCTAGTGAAGAGGAGATCAGACTCTGCCTAGGCCACCTTTATGCAGAGGCTTGTGGACTAGCCCTATGTCACAGGGAGCCAAGAAAATCCTTCCATATGTGCAATGTTCTGCACACTAAATTATCTTGTCCTGCTTGGCCCCTCATCTCCTAATTTTCTTACTGCTGGTACCAATAGTGTTGATTGTAGATCCAAGAAAGATGAAATTGTTGACTATGTCAATCGTTTATCTATCCATCATGATGTTGTCTGTTGGCCTAGTGATGAGGATTTTTGTTTTCTTGATGATGACATATACTCCATACTGAAGGATGTAGCCATTGATCATCCCTGCAACAAGTGCCGCAAGTCCTTATCAGTTTCAGCAATCAGAATTGAGTCACCTGCATGATGCAGGTTATTGATGATCCATTTTCCAGTTTTGATGCCACATTCTTTTCCATAAACTCCAATTTGCTCAGCCTACATATTGAATAGGTATAGAGAAAGAATATAACCCTGATGCACGCCTTTCCTGATTTATAAACCATACAGTGTTCCCTTGCTCTGTTCACAGAGTACCTTCTTGGTCTAGGTATAGATTTTATATTTATGTGTAAGTATAAGTAAAGGTTCTGGAATGTCCATTCTTTTCAAGGTTAACCATAGTTTGTTATATTCCACAGTCAGATGCCTTTGTCACAGTCAATAAAACATAAATAGACTTTCTTCAGGCATTTTCTCCTTTTTTGGCAAGATCCACCTGACATCAGCAATGATATCCACAGGCTCTTCTAACCCCAGCATGAATTTCTTTGGCACTTCTCTGACTGATCTAGCCATTTTTGGATGATCTTCAATATTTTGTTTGCATGTGATAGTGATGATATTGTTCTATGATTTCCACATTCTGTTGGATCACCTTTGTAGGGAATGGGAACAAATATGGATCTCTTTCAGTCAGTTGTTCAAGTAGCTGTCTTCCAAATTTCCTGGCAGAAACTGGTGACCATGTCTAACCCTGCATCTGTTAGTTGAAACATCTCATTTGGTATCTCATTGTCCTTTTGCCTTATTTTTTATAATTATAGCAAGTCACTTAATCTCTTTTGGCCCAAAAAAATGCTAAACTCTGAATGTATTAGAAGAACAGAAATATAGATTTCTAGAAACTGTATCATTTAGAAAGGAAAAAGAAATATTTTCATGTAGTTCACTGATGTTGAGCTTCTCCAGCGGTTCTTTCCACAAATGTAATCAGTCTGATTCCTATGCATACTGTCAGGTGAAATCCAGGTGTATAGCTTGCGTTTCTTATAAAACGTATTTACAATTAATAAATCATTAATTGTGCAAAATTCTATCATTTTCTCTCCAGCTTCATTTCTGTCACCAAGTCCACGTGTTCCAACTACTGATCTTTCTTCACTGTTACCAAATTATGCATTCCAGTCACCCATTATTATTAATGCATCTTGACTGCATATTTGATCAATCCCTGATGGCAAAAGTTGATAGAAATCTACTATTTCCTCCTCTTTGGCTCTGGTTGTTGGTGAATGATAGTGGTATCCACTGGAATTCCTTGTATATGCAGAACAGATTTTCCAGAAGGCTGGGCTCTGTGAGGAGAAATGTGGCATCAGGACTGGAGGAAGACTCATCAACAATCTGTGTTATTCTGATGACACAACCTTGCTTGCTGAAACTGAGGAGGACCTGACATGCTTGCTGCAGAAGGACTGTAGCCTTCAGTATGGATTGAAGCTCAATATCAAGAAAACAAAGATTCTCACCACTGGGTCGATTGGCAGCATCATGATGGATGGCAAAGAGATTGAGATTGTTAATAGTTTTAGTTTGCTTGGATTCACAATTAACACTCTTGGCATCAGCAGCCAGGAAATTAAAAGATATATTGCATTGGGAAATTCTGCTGTAAGAGATCTCTCAAAAGTACTGAAGAGAAACAGTGTCAGTCTGGAGACTAAGGTGCACCTGATTCAGGCCGTGGTCTTTGCAGTCACTTACTATGTATCAGAAAGCTGGACAATGACTAGGGATGATAGAAGGAGAATCAATGCCTTTGAGCTGTGGTGTTGGAGAAGAGTATTGAATATACCATAAACTGTTAAGAGAATGAACAGATTCATCCTGGAGAGGGTGAAACCAGGCTGCTCCTTGGAGGCAAGGGTTCTGAAGCTTCGTCTGATATACGTTGAACATGTCACATGGAGAGACCAGTCCTTGGAGAGGGATATAATGCTTGAAAAAGTTGAAGGTTATCAGCCAGAAGAAGATCCTTGAGTAAATGAACTGACACAGTGACTACAGCAATGGGCTTACGTATGGTACAAATTGGGAGAAAAGTGCAGGATAGAGCAAAGTTTAAATCTTTTTTTCATAAGGTAACTATTGAGTTTGAATTGTCTCAATGGAACCTGATAAGTAAGGTTCTTTTCAAGGAGGTCCTTGACTCGACAGTACCCAACAACAACAACCTGTGTACCTACACACCTGTTCATTAAGGCTCATTTCTCCATGTTCTTGTCGATTGTACTTACCTACCACTTTCTATTAGATGATGAAATGGATTTACTACTTATGTTTGGTTATTGTCTCTATTTTCTTTTTCCAACAATAAAGGGTAGTTTATTACAAATACTATAAAAATTTTAGTAAGAGAAAATTTTACTTATAACTTCACCAGTCACAACTTAACTCATACAGACCCATTTGTGTCAAAATAGAATTGTGCTATATAGTTTACAATGGATAATCTTTTAGATATACAGTCTGATCTTTTTTATGAGATACTTCTGAGTGAACGTAACCATCCAGCTGTTCGCTTAAAAGACTCTTTTTATCTCAGTTAAGAGACTCTTATTTGACATTTTCACCTGACATTTTCAACTCTCAACTTTGCTGAAACCAGATAAGTGGTTCATCACAGTACTGTTTGTCTCTTCTTTCTAAACATGCTAAAAAAATGTAAGCTTAAGAAAAGCAGAAATTATTCACTCATTTTATTCACAGTTGTAGCCAAAGTACTCAGAACCATACCTGGCATATAGTAAGAAAGTCAATGAAGCTTTGTTGAATGAATTAATTAATACACATTTATATTCTCATTACTGAGTGAAAACATACTTGTCAGAATGCATAATAAGAGTTTCAATTTACTCCATTTATGCATCTTTAAAATATACTAATTGAAAGCATAATTGTGTTTGATTTGTGTTTTATAGCTGGTTTTTCACACGTTGCAGTTGTTAGCCTTTACCGCTCTTGCCATCTTAATTATGAGACTGAAGCTGTTTCTTACACCTCACATGTGTATTATGGCTTCTTTGATCTGCTCTCGAAGGGTAAGGTATTAATTTTTCCTCTGGTGGCACAATGGGTTGAATACTGGTCTGCTAACCAAAAGGTAATTGATTCATACACACCACCCAAGCCTCTCCGTGGGAGAAAGAGGAAACCATCAGCTTCCATATGCATTACAGCCTTAGCAACCCTGTAGAAAAGTTCTTTTATGTCCTATCGGGCCACTGTGAGTTAGAAGCAGCCCAGGGCAGTGAGCTATAGCTACCCTGATGACTAGTATGGCTAAGTTGGTTTTGTTGACTGACTCAAAGTATAACAACTCTAGATTTTTTTTTATTTAAATCTCTGAAATGACACCAAGTATTAGTGCATGATCTGTTAAAGTTGTTGTTGAGTGCCATTGAATTGAAGCTGACCACTTAGCAGGTTATCAGAAGCAGTTAATTTTACAGAAGGAGATTGTCCATCCTTCTTCTGTAGAGCAGCTGGTGGAATCAATCAGCATGCCTTTGGGTTCTTACCACTAGGCCATCAGAGCTATTATAGAGACAGAAAAAGAGCTCCAAGTGATTTTGAACATTGTCTATGAATTTTAACTGCTATTTCATTGACAAGTAATGAGGTATATTTTTCCCACTGGTGATACCTTATCCAAAAACTTGGAGGTCAAGTCTGTACAAAAAAAAATCCATGACCCATCAAAACCATATTTACTAGCACAAAAGCAGTAAATCTCTAGTGTTGTCCTGGTTGGCTCTGAAAATGTTGCCATGTTGAGATCAAGACACTTTTAGAAACACATTATTTAGTTTTATTGGTATAATCTATTAGGTTACAATAAAGACTGGTTTTTCTCAAAAGTAACTGACATGACAATTGTTGTTGTTGTTGTTGTTATGTGCCGTCGAGTCGCCTGCGACTCATAGCGACCCTATGTACAACAGCCCTAAACTCCGCTCTGTCCTGTGCCAATCGCACTGTCTCTGACACTCCCATCCCAATTATCCCAGTCACTGAATCAATTCACCTCATAGAGGGCCTTCCTCTCCTGCGCTGTCCCTCCACCCTCCCAAGCATGATGTCCTTCTCCAAGGACTGGTGTCTCCTCACTACATGCCCGAAGTAAGTTAGACAATACAATGGGATTTCTCTTTGTCATTCAATCAAATGTTAAAAGATGTTTAAAAGTTCTCACTCTCAAACTCATTATCATTGAATTAGAACCTACTCATAGCAGATCTTTTAGTGGATTTTTGAGGCTGTAAATTGCACAGGAAGAAATGGGCCCATCTTTCTCCCATGGAGCCGCTGGTTGATTTGAACCTCCAGAGAGACGCAACCTCATTGCACCATAATGCTCTACAGATGAGTCTACCAGAACTCCCTCTAAATATTCTGAGGTGTTTCAAAATTTCTCTTTCCTAATCTTAATCCCTAGGAGTAAATAGCTACATAAAAGATCATATTTTTCTTTCCTCATTCACTTATTGTTGTTGTTGTTATGTGCCATCAAGTTGCTTGCTACTCATAGTGACCCTATGAACAGCATTCATTTAAGGAAAGAAAACTTTAAGTTTATTAGAAACTTGCAATTCCAATAGATGTGTTCATTTTAAACTCTAGGTGATATTTCCATATATTATTATAATGCTATTATCAAATGGTAATCTATCTTTGTTTAAAGCCTAAGTAGAAAGTTGATAATTTGCTGTTGACCTTATATAGAATCTTTCATAAATGATAGATTATAAATTAATCATCAATAAATTTATTTTATTTCAGCTCTTTGGCTGGCTTTTTAACAGAATTCGTTTTGAGAATATCATCTTTGGCATTCTAACAATTATGTCAATTCAAGGTTGTGTGAATCTTCAGAATCAATGGAGCATAATAGGAGAGTTTAGTAATTTGCCCCAGGAAGAACTTCTAAAATGGATCAAACACAGTACCAGACCAGGTATATAGTTATTTAGTGTTTTTTCTATATCTATACACACACACACACACACACACACACACACACATACCATCATTTGTATGTATTACATATGTATGCATTGTGTGAGGCACACTTGTGGCTTAGTGGGTAAGAAGTTGAACTGCCAACCCTAACGAGGGTGTTTTGAATCCACCAGTGGCTTCTCAAAGAGAAAACTGGACAATCTCTTTCTGTGCAATTTATTGAAAAACCTATGAATTGATTCTGACTCAATAGCACCTAACAACAAGATCATACATTATATAGTTAGTATTTTCTATATACATTTATAACATAAAACATACAGAAATGTTAAAATAGACACACATACATAGTTCTTTATACACTTATGGATTCAATCATTGCACTGACCAGTGCATCTTCTGAAGAGACAATTTTTTTGTCTTCTTTAGACTCTTCTTAAAAGTAACTGTCAAGAATAATTGGAAGAATCTGTTCTAGAAAACAATGTATTCGGATTTTGTAAATAAACTACTATAAAAGAATTTAACTTGGGGAGGAGGAAGAAAAGAAGGGGGTAAATTGTGCAACAATGAATGAATTAATGAAAATCTAACTTTTCTGTTAAAAAAAAGCCTAATTAGCACCACAGAATTAATGATTGTTGTGTCCTATAACTGTTGATGATCATTGTATTTTAAATGCGACAGTGAGGAATTAAAGAAATAAATTTTAATGACCTAATTTCATATTTTAAAACAGTCCATTGGATAAAATAAATTTACTCAATTTTCTGTAACTCCTGTCACATTCCTCACTGAAATTGACTTGTGCAAGTGGTGGACTTAGATTCTTGGACATTCTTTTTCTTTAAATTGTCTCAAAGAAGTATGTTTGAGTTTAACTTTAAATACTTCAATTTTTTTTCCTTTTGCTTGCTTTTAATGTTATATTGTTAGCTCGTTTTATAACATTCTTTCATTCCTAGTATTTGTAATTGTTGGAATAAGGAATACAATTTTGGGATCCTTTGTGTCTTCTATGATTTTGTAGTACTGACTCTTAGTATAGTTCTTCAGAGTAAGAAGGAATGGTAGTGAATTATTTACAAATCCTCTGACCCTTCCAAATTGTGCAGTTGTACAAGTCACCATGTCTCAGTGTTCTAATCTATAAATAAGATTAATATATTGGCCCCTATATAGGGAGCTCTGGTGGCCTAGTGGTAAGAAACTGCATTGCAATTCCAAAGGCACACAGAATCCATCAGCTGTTTTGCCAGAAAAGGATGGACAGTCTCCTTCCATGCAAGTAACTGCCTCTGAAATCCTGCTGATGGGTCAGCTATGGGTCAGTTCCAACTTGATGGTATACAAAAATAACAACACAGCCTCATGAAGTAATTATGCAAATAAAATGGTTTTGTAAGAGTATTTGGCACACTTGCTCAGACTGAAATGACATGCAGCTATTTCAATAGATAATAAATATTGAATAAATGGAATTAATTCACTGGTTATCATTTAATTAAACTTTACCTTTATACCTTGGGATTCAAATAATACAGAGAAGTTTAACTTTTGGGTTCCTTTAAAATATTATTTTAAGGAATATAATTATGTTTTTCAGATGCTGTTTTCGCAGGTACCATGCCAATAATGGCAAGTGTCAAACTGTCCACACTTCACCCCGTTGTAAATCACCCACATTATGAGGACGCAGGCTTGAGGTTGGTAACCCATTATACAGTTCTACTGCTCACACTCTCTAGGTATTTCTAGGAATAGGGAAAACATTACATATAGGAGTGAAATCCACTTTCTAAACAACATGCCTCTGGAAACTCTATGACCTTCGATTAACGTCGACAGTTGTAGAGGGCCTTCAGGCCTTTTGTTCATAGGGTTGCTATGAGTCGTGCTCAACTCGAAGGCAATCAACAACACCACACTTATATTTGTTCTCTTACTTTGATGCACACTGAAAGTGAAAAATATTCTTAACTGCCCAGAAATTACTATCTTTTGTGCTCAGTGTTCAGACTTAATAAGTCTCTCAAAACAGAAAGAGGTAAAAACGCTTGTTATCAATGTCAGATGCATCACATATTTATTACTAATCTGTGTGTATAAGTTCCAGTAAAACCCCTCAGTAGCAGTAATAGAAGGTGGGCTGGAGTTGGCCCTGTTTCTACATTGTCAGCACAACCCGTGCTCTAGGCTCCACAAACCCTATTCTAAGTAGTCATTCTAGCTCTTACTGAATGGCTAGCTAGCCTTTTAATGTTGCCTTTGTTGCTGTTATGTGCATTCAAGTCACTTATGACTCATAGCAATCCTATGAATTATGGCTCTGAACCTCTGGACCCTATCCTGAGCCAACTTCACCTTCTCCAACTTCACCATTTCCCAACACATCTGATCCTGTTGTCGCAGTTACTATGGCAACTCATATTATCCAGGGGCTTCTTCTCTTGTGCTGACGACCTTCTACCACTCTTACAAACATGATGTCCTTCTTCAAGGATTGGTCTCTCCTGACAAAGTATGTCCTCACATGCCAAAAGTATGCGAGACAAAGTTTCAAAATCTTTGCCTCCAAGGAGCAACCTGGTTTCACCTTTTCAACGACAGACCTGTTATTTTCTTATGAAAATTTAGTATTTTCTTTTTCTAAAAATCTATGAAAACTCCAGCTTCTACTTAGATCTGGAAGTTTTAGGTTTTGTTTTGTTTTTTAAATATCTGTGTTTTAAACATTATTTTGATCACTCTACTAGCCTTGGTGAGGGAGATCATGTTTGAAAAGGTTGGAGTGTTGGTCAAAGAGAAGAAGAATACTATGCTGCATTGAAAAACAAGGAACTCATGCAATATTATTCAAAATGGGTGACCCTGGAGGATATTATGCTGAGTGAGGTATCTCAGTCACAAAGGGACAAATGCTATATGGTGCCACTGTTGTAGAATGAGGCTGGCATTGGGGTGGGGGTAAGAC